CTTGCATTTGCGTTTGTAATTTGTTATTTTGTTTTCAGAATTGTGATTTGCTTTTCACTTCTCGGCCACCGTATGTAATAGATTTGAACAAAGAAATCAAGTGCTACGCACATGTATTGGCCATGACTTGATTGCAAATACAAATACAAAAATTAGACGAGTAAAGAAAACGTGGTACTTATTAAAAGAATCACCCCTTTATTTAAATATATGACGACAGGAAACCGCTGTTAACAGGTTAATGTAACATTTCCCATTCCACGACTTGTAAAATAATGGTAACTCACCATCTGTATAATATTGAACATTGTTCTTCTCGGAGTAGCGCGGTCGTGCGCTGCGTCTTCTTCTTGTTTGACAGGTGTCAGCGTTAAGGCGTAATACTGCCACCTGGGAGGTCAACCAGGTACTGACGCTGGAGTAGGCTATTTGCGTGACGTGCTATCATAAGTGTCTGGTTCATTTTAAATATTGTGGTTATCGTCAATGGCGATGATATATCGTCACACCCTAAATTAACACGATGTCGATATTTCATAATTTGAGTATCACGGTTATCGTCAATACCGGTATATCGCGACACCCCTAGTGTGTGTGTATATATATATATATATATATATATATATAATGACAAAATAATAAATGTTTTTACATGCACAGACTGATTATGTTTAATAATCTGACAGTGTGTGAGGTAAATGCCTTTAACAAATATTTCTGACTTGACAGGAGGAAATATAATATGACTCCTGACACATCTCCTGTCGATTAAGCATGTGAATGTTTAGGTTTTGACGCTAATATCAGAGGAAATCGGATCTTTTCAAATTCTTGTGGTTTCTTGCATTGCCAGTTTATGGATTGAATGTAAAGCTTGTAAATAGATTTGTATAATAAACTGATTTTTGATAGTTCATTTGTTGTTGTGCCTGTAAACACACTCAAAATCTTAATTTAACTGTGCAGGACATAGTGGTTTTGGTGAGTTTTGGTGAATTTGGCTGATCTTTATCATGAAAGAATGAAGCGCTCCTTCTCTTTCTGCGACCGCAGGACAATCCCCTCAAATTTCTCCCACAATCCCAGCCTGTGCTGTCCACCCTCGCCGAAGCGTGCACATTTCAGCTCTCACCTCCAGCCGCTCCTGCTTGACTTCATCCACCTCCTCTTCCTCCACTAGCGACAGGAATTCCCCGGTCTGGTCGATGGAGCTCATGAAGTCCTGCAGCAGGCGCTGTCTCTTGTTGACGCTGCTGCTGCTGCTGTATTTGTCTGTGAGAGGACAGAAACAGTCAGAGCACATCTGCAGGCCAGCTGAGATCCAGCGGCCCACTCGAGTCATGCAGACCTCTGACACACGCTTACATCTCACACAAATACAGGCCAAAACTCCTTTCAAATCTGCTATAGAACAAGATTATACACTGCTTGAATGACAAAAATGCTCATAATAATAGAGAGACCTACGGGATGCGGTTTAGTCTCTTAAAAACGTTCAAATCAATGGATTTGAATGATCTGTTAAGTATTTTATTAGAGAAGGAAAATGTTCTTTAAGAGAATTTGAAATGGTTTAATCTTTGCCATAATCCATTACAATGACAGATGAGCTGAATCTTAAAACTAGTGGAAAATATTGTCCAGTATTGACTGATAAATAACCACTATCAAGAAATGACAACTGATACTGGTCCAGTATATTGTGCATCCTCAGTTAAATGCCTGAAATGACTTTTGTAGGCAAATATAAATTATTCATTTATAATAATTAAATTTTTTTATTTTTTTTTTTTTACAAAATTTTAATGAGTAAATATGCATATCAGTAAATGGATGTAAATATAACACTTGATGATGCTTTTCCTTCACTATTATATATACTGTATATATATATATTATTATATTTCATGTGTTAAGAATAAGTAATAATAATGTTATACTATTATTATCATCTTAAAATTACTACTAATTACAATAATAAATTCTTATAATTTACATTAAATACATTCTATAATTATACAGTGGGTACGGAAAGTATTCAGACCCCCTTAAATTTTTCACTCTTTGTTATATTGCAGCCATTTGCTAAAATCATTTAAGTTAAATTTTTTTCCTCATTAATGTACACACAGCACCCCATATTGACAGAAAAACACAGAATTGTTGACATTTTTGCAAATTTATTAAAAAAGAAAAACTGAAAAATGCTCAGTATTTAGTAGAAGCACCCATTTGATCTAATACAGCCATGAGTCTTTTTGGGAAAGATGCAACAAGTTTTTCACACATGGATTTGGGGATCCTCTGCCATTCCCTCTTGCAGATCCACTCCAGTTCTGTCAGGTTGGATGGTAAACGTTGGTGGAAAGCCATTTTTAGGTCTCTCCAGAGATGCTCAATTGGGTTTAAGTCAGGGATCTGGCTGGGCCATTCAAGAACAGTAACAGAGTTGTTGTGAAGCCACTCCTTCGTTATTTTAGCTGTGTGCTTAGGGTCATTGTCTTGTTGGAAGGTAAACCTTAGTTCCAGTCTGAGGTCCTGAGCACTCTGGAGAAGGTTTTCGTCCAGGATATCCCTGTACTTGGCCGCATTCATCTTTCCCTCGATTGCAACCAGTCGTCCTGTCCCTGCAGCTGAAAAACACCCCCACAGCATGATGCTGCCACCACCATGCTTCACTGTTGGGACTGTATTGGACAGGTGCCTGGTTTTCTCCACACATACCGCTTAGAATTAAGGCCAAAAAGTTCTATCTTGGTCTCATCAGACCAGAGAATCTTATTTCTCACCATCTTGGAGTCCTTCAGGTGTTTTTTTAGCAAACTCCATGCGGGCTTTCATGTGTCTTGAACTGAGGAGAGGCTTCCGTCGGGCCACTCTGCCATAAAGCCCCGACTGGTGGAGGGCTGCAGTGATGGTTGACTTTCTACAACTTTCTCCCATCTCCCGACTGCATCTCTGGAGCTCAGCCACAGTGATCTTTGGGTTCTTCTTTACCTCTCTCACCAAGGCTCTTCTCCCCCGATAGCTCAGTTTGGCCGGACAGCCAGCTCTAGGAAGGGTTCTGGTCATCCCAAACGTCTTCCATTTAAGGATTATGGAGGCCACTGTGCTCTTAGGAACCTTAAGTGCAACAGAAATTTTTTTGTAACCTTGGCCAGATCTGTGCCTTGCCACAATTCTGTCTCTGAGCTCTTCAGGCAATTCCTTTGACCTCATGATTCTCATTTGCTCTGACATGCACTGTGAGCTGTAAGGTCTTATATAGACAGGTGTGTGGCTTTCCTAATCAAGTTTACTATAATAAATTCTTATAATTTATATTAAATACATTCTATAATTATATATAAACATTTTAATGACCATTATAAACATTTATTAATGTTAACATTTCATTAGCATAATAACTAAATAATAAATAAAATCTTTTTTTTTTTAAGAATAATAATACAGTATATTACTTGGAGTGTAAAAGCACAAATAATCATTATAATCAGGGTTTGAAATTAACACCAGCCAACCCGCCAAATGCGGGTAAAAATCAGCTGTGGCGGGGAACGCTGTCAAATCACTAGCCAATTTGGCGGGGTACTTTTTGTAAAAATCAATGCTTATACTGTCAAGTGCATTTCTATGTGACAAAAATGCAGTAGGCTATTAGTTTGTTGCATTTGCTGTGAATTCAGTAATATATCATTATTTGTTTTTGTCTTCATTTATTTATTTATTTACTTACTCCCATTGAAGGCCCTATAACACAGCGAAACATTCACAGGGGACCTTGAGGGCTGGATTTGTCCAGGGACGAATTTTAACTCCAGTCCAGCCCTGTACCCGTCACTACGCAACAAATAATGGTGTGACGGGCGCACTGGTTTCCTTTGCATTGAAGCAATAACGAAAAGTCAAAAAATGCCTGAAGACTCGCACAGTGTGTACACCAGATGTGACAAAATACTATAGAACCCATTATAATCTGTGATGCGGCCTACACTGGATGTGGCGCAGCACAGCACGACAAATCCCCGACAGTAAACTGATGCCTCGTTCTATTTATGACGTAGGCCTACTGTTTGACAAAGTACAAATGATTTGCAATGGTCACTTTGTCGCATTCAGTGTGGACAGCCTCAAGCTGTTGGCTTACCTCTGGCCTTTTTTTCATAATTTATTTGTTTAATTTTTTTGGCTAGTAGAAATTATGAATGGCCGGTAACTTAAAAATTTAGTAGCCAAATTGGCTGGTGAGTGAAAAAGTTAATTTCAAACCCTGATTATAATATAATATATTGTATGTTTAATGTAAATTTAAAATGTATAAATGTTAATAATGTACATTTAATGTATAATTATATATAAAATAGTTTTAAAATGTATAATTATTACAATATATATTTTAATGTACATTATTAACATTTATTAATGTTAACATTACATTAACATAATAACTAACTAAATAAATATTATTTTTAATTAAAAATAATATATTAGTTGGAGAGGAAGCCTCATCAAATAATCATTATTATTATTAACATATTATTATAATACATATTTATTCATTTATTAATAATTTTAATCTATGTTTAAAATAGATAAATGTTAATCCGCACATTTAAAACAATTACATATAATATAATTTTAAAATGTATAACTATTACAATATATTTTAATGTACATTATTAACATTTATTAATGTTAACATTACATTAACATAATAAATAAATAAATAAATGCAATCTTATTTTTAAAGAATAATAATAGAATAGTTGGGGTGGAAAAGCATCATCAAGTGTCCATCAAACGTATTCCTTCTTCAGCACAGTGTATAAAACATCCCATGATGCTCCTCATGAAGTTGGTTAATGAATGTCCAGAGTGAGCAGAGCTGGAATCCAGACTAATAAGCAGCTGAAATATGAGAGATTTTTCATCTGTGTCACGTTTTGTTCACTACGTACATAATTCCCACAGCAGCATAAAATCACGCTCTACCACAGCAAACTCCTTTCACTTTTTCCAGCATGTTCATGCGGTTCAGCGTCAGCGGGCATTACGGGCCTAAAGCTCCAGGGTGGGAAAATGAAAAAAAGAAGGAAAATGTTAATTAAATGAAAGGAAATACACTGATTAAACACACTTCTGTGAAGTAACGTCTGGTTGTGAATTACAGAAATAGCCCCAGAAAATGTTTAATCAAGGTTACTGAATTTATGACACCTAAATAACGGCTCGTTTTATGGGCTTCAGGTTCGTTGGGACTGGCACGGCACAGCCTTGAACAGACTGTAATTGTGGACTTCCTCTGTAAACGCTGCAATTCAATCAAACGGTAAAAACGTCAGTTTGTATAAACTCACTTTTAAATGATAGATGATTCTATTTAGATTCTATTTTCTATTCACTTTTAGATGATTCTGGCTTTAAAGAATCCTTAATTTGACATCTGATACAAAATTTTGATGAATCAAAGGCCTTGGAAAATCTTGGTTTTGGATGAATAGTTAATCTAATAATGATGAAATGGTGCATTAAAATCTAACTATATAAACACTAGTAAAACATCTTTGATCTGATGAACTTGTCCTTCAAAATTAAAAAGTACAAGTAAAAAATAGCATTTTAAATGTGCCTGTAACAGAAGTGCTTTGAATACAGCAGATTAAAATGTAAAACTGCATAAAAATACATTCAAGTTTGCATATAATGCATTTTATTTCTAGACTTAATTTAATTGAGCATATGTTTATAGAGCAATATGTCTAAATTCATAAACAAGATCAACCATCAGTGCTTGCGACCCAATTTATGTCCGCAATTACTTGTATTTCCAAGATAAACAAGATATTTACTGTAAAAAAAAAAAAGTGAGACCTGATCTTATACACTGAGAATTGAACACACTGTGAAAAGTGTTCAACTGGACGAAGAGTAGTAATGAAATGGTGCATTAAAACCTAACTAAATAAACACTAGTAAAAACATCTCTGATCTAATGAATTCATGCTTCAAAATTAAGAAGTACAAGTAAAAAAAAAAATCACATTTTAAATATGTCTAAGCTAAATGTAACAGGATGTTTAGAAGTGCTTTGAACAGCAAATAAAAACATAAAACTGCATGAAAAAAAAAAAAACGTATTGATCTAGTGAATTCATCCTACAACTACAAGTATTTTTTTTAATTCACCTGTAACAGGGTGATCAGAAGTGCTTTAAACACAGCAGATCATGCATTTTTTCTAGACTTAGCTACCGTAATTTAACAGAGTGTATGTTTACAGAACAATATGTCTAAATGTCTAACACGACCAACAGCATTTGCAACCCAAATTGTTTCTGTAACTACTTTCTATTCAATTAAATATAAAAGTTCTCCTATCATGTTTTTTTTTTACAATTACCTACTGTAATTTAACTAAGCTTTTATAGAACAATAGCCTATGTCTAAACGCCAAAACACTGATTAATGTTTGCAACCCAATTTATTTGTGTAACTACTTGTACTTCTGAGTGAAACACAATATTCAGTTTTATCTCCCAATTCTGATTTTTATATCATAATTCTGAGTTTATCTCACAATTCTGACTTTATAATACGCAACTGCCAGTTTATATCACACAATTCTAAAAAAGTCTTTGAAAAATAATTGCGATTGTCAGAAAATCTCCCAAATCTGACTTCACTTCTCAAAATTCGGACTTTATAAATCGCAATTGCGCGTTTATATCACAATTCTGAGAAGAAAAAGTCAGAATTGCGAGTTTGTATTACACAGTCCTGAGAAAAAAGTCAATATTGTGAGATAAAAACTCGCAATTACCTTTTATTTTTAATTCAGTGGCGGAAACAGGCTTCCACACTAATCGAACTGGCATCAAGATATTAAGATATTATTAACATTAACATTATGATTTTCTGTAAATTTGACACGACTAAATGGGATTGATGTCACACAAAAAGGAGAGTAGGCTTGATGAATTGCTCGCAATACAACACATAGTAAGAAAATAAACAGCACAATCTCCTGCTCTACAGTATCTGAGCCCAGATCTGCTGAGCAACCTAAAAAAAGACAATAGCAGTTGAACAGAAGTTCCTCATTTGCAGTTTAGTTTTGTTTTAGGGGTCACTGCACGAACACTGCATGGAAAGAAATCAAAACCTATGTTCTCGCTCTACGTTGCCCTCCGAACGCACCACACCAGAGCAAAACAATTCCCTCACAGATTTTATATTGCATGCAAAAATGCAGATAATAGTCAGAGAAGAATAATCCCCCGGTTTGAAGCGCTTCTTTGGGGTCAGAAACTTTCAGAAGAGCAACACATTGCAGACAGCGAGCCATGGAAAAGCATCTGCGTTGAGACAGGGAGACTGCATTTCACTGTTCTTCCATCTCTCAAGTTACACTCTAGATGAGGAGCAAGAGTCCTAATGACACTCCGCATGACATTACGCTGCTCGTGCGGATGGTTTTCCTCACTCACGCTCATTTTTCGGTGATATTGATGAGAGAGTGCTGTTCAAAGCAGACTCATGCCAAAGCTTCTGTCTGCATTTTGGTTAATGACTCTCGCTGATTGACTGTGGCGTACGAAATTACCCCTCAACTCCGCTCGTTATGCGCCACTTCGTCATTTAAGGCAACGGCTAAATGGTAAAATGCTGTTGATGGGGGAAAACGTTTTGAATATCTTACGAACAAAATCATTCATATGGAAAACATGCTAAGCGGTAAAATATATGAAAGTACAATACACCAACTAGGGTTGGGAATTGAGAACAGATTCTCCTTCAGCAGTACCATTTTTTAAATTAATGGTTCTAAAGGATTTGAATTTTTGAATTTGAATTCTAACAAAGAATGGTTTGTTGTCATGGCGATCAACATGCATCTTATTTTCTGTCAGCAATGCATGCGATTCAACACTTGATTCATTGACTCAGTGGCAGACCATAAAACGGATGAAAATATTGGAAAATACTACACATATCGTACCTGAATCCAGCAGATCTTCATCTTCTATGGTTTTGAGGACTCTGGATTTGTAGTCTCTGAAGTGCATGTACCCGATGAGCCGCCGTAATTTTTTCTGATCTAAAAAAAACAAAACAGGTTTAGCGTTCAAACTAAAACATTCTCCATCCATCCCACAAAATGATCTTTTAGTTTCAATTTAGTTGTAAATAATGAAATATTGCAAAAATAAATATTGTCTCTAATTTAACAGGCTGAAATCTTTATCTTACAAAATAATATTTTAAAATGATCTTCACAACATTCAAGAAAATTCAATTCTTTCTAGAGCTGGGTGATGTGTTCTCAATTTTGCTGCTGATAGCAGCAGCTGTCTCTGATTTAAACAAAAATAGCAGGGAAAAAAAATAACCGAAGAAAAAAAACTTCATTTCTGTGAATCACGTGTCCATTTCAATGAATCGATTCAAAACTCTTGAACAATTTGTTTGCATCATCACTCAACATGTCATCTTCAAGACCTAAAATGTTTTTGTAAAGAAAATTTAGGGAAAAAATGTGTGGAAAACCTTGATTTTATTCATTGATTTTATTTCTAAAAGTTTATCTTACTGTAATCATAGAAATATCTAATTTAAGCTCAATGATTAAACTAAAACAATCTCCATCCATCTTTGCATTTTACAAAATTAACTATTAGTGTGGGTTTCCTCACTACATTCAATAAAATAAAATTGCTGGCGATACTGAATTAAGCAGCATTATAAATATTGCAATATTGCAAAATGATATATATATATATATATATATAT